ATTCATTTTTTAATAAATATTTTTATTTACTTTACTTTTAGGGGCTTCGGGGAAATATTAGGGGTCTAAAAAGACCCCTGATATTTCCCTTTTAAAATAGAAAAAGAGATTGAGAACACAGAGTCCTCAATCTCTTTTTCTGTGTCCCCATGAGTGCTCCTGTTCATTGATAACATGAGAACATTGTTTACTATAACTACAATAATGAATGAATGGGGGTGATTTAGATCACTCCCATTCATTCATAATTGAGGATATAGTTAACATACAATATCCTCAATTATGTACACACACTCAGCGATCACTGATCACTTAGTGTGTGTACCTTGCTTTTCTCTGTGACACGCTGTCACAGGAGGCTGATCGAGCGGTGTAGAGAGGAAAGTCCAGCCTCCTGTGATAGCGCTGTCTCCGCCCCCACACCGCTCTGCCGGACTGTGATAGGCGGCTGAGCGGTGTGGGAGGAGAGACGCCTATCACAGTCCAATCACAGAGAAACTTTCTTTTCTCCCCGCTGAAACAGCGGCCAGCGGGGAGAAAAGAAACCAGGGATGCGCCGATATTATATGTGGAACACAGATGGTGTTGAAGAGATATATATATATATTACACTGAGTGGCCAGATTATTATGACCAGCCCATCAGTACTTCGTTGGGCCATGAGATAACTCCACGAGATGACTTCGTTGGGCCATCTCGTGACTCCACGAGATGTTGAAAGGTGATGCGAGGAATCTGACACTGTACTGTTGCCCTTCTGTTGTCTTGTACCAGTCTTGCCACTCTCCGTTCTGCCCTAACATTGACCAGTCGCTGATGGCCACAATTTGCACGTTCAGACCCAGATTTTCGGCTGACAGTCCAGTCTTTAAACACTTTAACAATGAGCCCCTCTTGAACATTTAACAAATTTTGCAGTCTTGCTGATACTCGCTACATGGCTCGCCCCAACAATCATCCCAGGTTACTTGGTAGGCTCTAGTACAGCCCTAGCGAGACATTCCCAGCTTTTCCTTGCTAGGATATTAGTTTCTGTTTCACCGTCTCTATCAAAAGAACCTTTAGGCCTGGTTCACACCTGGGCGTTTTGTAGCGCGTTCGAACGCTCTGCAAAACGCTCAAACACCGAAATCCCATTATTTCCTATGGGTATGGTTCACACCTGGGCATATTACAGGCTGTATGAACGCGCTACAAAACGCCCTACGCCCAAAGAAGTACAGGAGCTTCTTTGGGGCGTTTTTGTCGCGCGTTTCCATTGGGATACAGCCAAGTAGCCCTCGGAAATGCGCGTTTACCGCGAATCGCAACAAACGCGCATATTCGATATGCCTAGGTGTGAACCCAGCCTTAGAGAGTCAGGGTGCTTTGTGATCGAAATGCCTTTTCACCTCCAAGAAAAATAATAATATATCCTCTCCAATTTCCCAGCTGGGAATAAACTACAACTGGATTCTAATTTTAGCCTTCTTAGGGAGTTGACACTGCCTGTGGATCTTTTCGAGTCAGCAAGTTGCTGGGTCTCAGGAGGAGACAAAAACAGTCAGTGTAAAAAAAAAAAATAAGTGGCTCACAGCATACCGTACATGTCTACTATCCACTTAATAGGCTGAAATTTGAGTAATTTGGCTTACCTCAACAATGGCATCACTCAAGTGTTTCTGTTGTCGAAAAAGGATGTTGGTAGCTCCAGCCACAAAACCACGTATGCTGACATCGGAGAGCAGATGATGCTGCTGCAGTGCCATATACGGTAAGCACAGGTAACCCTGGAATGGTATAAAACAAAATGTAAACACCTCAAATGACTATGGATATTTTCTGGTCTGGTTTTTCTGGAATAGGGTCTGCCCAATTCCTTGTGCACCAGAAAGAGCAGTTCTCCTTTTGTTTGTACACTGGAGAGCCTGGTCAATAGGGGAAGTCCTGAATCTCAAGTATATTTTTAGTCATGTTCTGCTACGGACTTAATTTAATCATTTTCTGACTTCATATTTCCCCATTCAGGGCCAATCATATGAATCCACTTATGGTTGTTCTACTCCTTTTTTTTAATTTTTACTTCGCTCTTTGATTTAGTAGATCATTGGACACATTCAATTCTTTCAGCTTTGCTTTAATCAGTCACATTTATCAAATAATGGCAATAAATGGTGAAAAAAAGTACATTGCTTCACTAACACCAATGCTTCTGCAGGAGAATGGGCACAAAAATTCTCATTCAAATATAGGATTTGACTGGTTTTACATGTGTCCTAACACTTACACCTCTTCTGCCTCCAACACTGAACCATTAAGCCTAATACTACCCTAAAAAATAAAAGTAAAACGTAATATTAATTACCCCCATCCCGACAAACAATAACTTAGTCCTGTACCAGCAACCTCTGCACTAACAGCAAGTCAAATTTTAAAAAAAAAAAAAAAAAAGAGCTAAGAACAGATGCACAGACAAGGACTTCTATCACATATGCAGAAAAATCACCAGATTTTCCACTACTTTGATCTACTTGCCTAAAGAGAAGTGCCTTGTCCTTATAAGCAGCATTGGTATACGAAAGTGAGAGTTTCCTTTGATTTGTGAAAACACACACACACACACACCCACACACACACACACACCCACACACACACACACACCCACACACACACACACACCCACACACACACACACACCCACACACACACACACACCCACACACACACACACACCCACACACACACACACACCTTGACCGTTTGCATTGGAGAGCAGGGGATACTCCTCCTCCACCCCAACAATGCATGCACATGCGAACACATGTATAGGGCATGAGCATGTACATACAGTAAATGGCAGTTGAGCCATTGAGCTGTAAAGGCTTTTAAAGCGCTGCCTATGGACAATGCTGAATACTATAGTTTTTCACCAATGTAATGACATGCACAATTTTAAGGCTTGACATGTTTGGTATCCATTTACTCGACGTCAACCTATCTTTTGGAGTGAGATTTCGTGATATCACTACTGTGCTGCTCCTTGTTCTCTTTACTGGATGCTTTGACACAACGAAGCAAAGCCCTGCCTCTATTAAGATGGCCACCTCCAAAGAGGCAGAACAAAACATGGCAAATCAGTAATGGGGGCAGATCAGTTGCAGGGAGCCAACAGGCAATACTGGTATGCAGCACTATGCCTTTTTTTTTTTTTACAAATAAAAAACTGAAGTACAGACGACGCAGGAGGTGCACACTGTATACATCTCAAGTCTTTATTTTTATGATTGTTTTTGAAAACACGCAGAAATAGAAATTTTTAAAGTTAACCATTGCTGAAAATAGTAAAGATCTTATATGAGCTTTTTTAAGTGGTGCACTGATGTGCTAAATGGGTCTTATGTATTCAAGACCTAAAACACTTAATTATGGTATTTGCTTGCTTATGACAATCAATATTCTAAAGAAGCACATCCAGACTGATCACCTTTGTGCCTCTTCACTTACTGGTATACTGACCTTAGTAAATATTGCTAAAGGCATTCCATACTTGTCCTCTTCTAGACCAGATATCAGCCCAGGAACAAATGTTGCCTGGCCTGTTTTTGACTGAGGCTGAACGGTAATGGGAACACTTCCTGATGTTACGGTGTCCTTAATGAGAGTGTCAGATTCCCCTGGCCCCACATTCCATACTTCCCCTTCCTCTCCTGTAATACACTCCTCTAGGATGCTTGGATCCAGTGTTTCCCAGTCACTCTCAATAGATTCAGGAGATTTATGAGATGGAGGCTTCAGATGTTCAATGCTACCATTTAAATCTACACTAGGCTCGGAAATTGGTCTTTCTGATTTGTTGTCCTCTAAAAAACTGTTGGTTTTAGTTTCATTGTTTTCATCTTTGGACTTAAAACTTTCAGAGGAAGCTACAGGAATACAGTCCTGGGATGTCACAACTGAAGAGAATTCATCTGCAATACTTTGTCGGGGCCTGTAGTGAGAGCTGTCTGTGAGTCCATGCTCAATCATGCCTTTAAGATAAGAAAACAAGTTAAAACATAATGTATAATCAAAAGCATCTAATTTTATTTTAATAATTATATAATGTTTTTCCTATCAGCAACAGAACCATCATATTTTCCTCCGTGACTCATTTAACCATAATTAAAATACAACATAACCATGATAGTCAAAAATATCTATAAAAACATAACATTTTAGATTATAACCCCATCTCACCTGGGAAAAGCGATAAGACAGTCATTAATGCACCCACTAATCTATGAACAGGAGAGACATAAAATAGGACCTGAGAAAGACACAAAAGGAGATTAATAAAAAGTTATCAGTTTGAGATAGTTCTGAGATCATTCACAATTCATTGACAGGTGCATTCGATCTGCAGTTTACCACCATCTGACCTGCATTTGACCTACTTTAAGATGCTTTTCTATTCCCATTGACTTGCACGGAAAGAGAAGCAGTTTGACGTGATTAAAAGCCCATCAACAGAGGACCAAAAATTGTTTCTGTTGGCAACTTAACTGAACTGCAAAATTCAATTATTCGTCCCATGCTCAGTTTAGGAGAGCATGTTTTAATTTAAATGCAAACTTTTTATTAGGGAAGGAAGAGAAGTAATAAAATAAGTTAAATTTTTCCTTCATCCCTAAGTGTGTCTGGGAGCGTGTCTAGGAAATAGTTGTAAGACATTTGCAACAATATCATTATATATACACATACACATATACACACACATACACACTATATTGCCAAAAGTATTGGGACACCCCTCCAAATCATTGGATTCAGGTGTCACGTGACATTTCCTTGGTACTAAATATTCCACGGTCAACTGTTAGTGGTATTATAACAAAGTGGAAGCAATTGGGAACAACAGCAACTCAGCCACAAAGTGGTAGGCCATGTAAAATGACAGAGCGGGGTCAGTGCATGCTGAAGTGCACAGCGTGCAGAAGTCGCCAACTGTCTGCAGTCAATAGCTACAGACCTCCAAACTTCAGGTGGCCTTCAGAACGGCACAAAAACAGTGCATAGAGAGCTTCATGGAATGGGTTTCTATGGCCTAGCAGCTGCATCCAAGCCTTACATCACCAAGTGCAATGCAAAGCGTTGGATGCAGTGGTGTAAAGCACGCCGCCACTGGACTCTAGAGAAGTGGAGACGTATTCTCTGGAGTGACCAATCACGCTTCTCTGTCTGGCAATCCCATTAAACGCGTCTGGGTTTGGCTGTTATCAGAAGAGCGGTACTTGCCCGACTGCATTGTGCCAAGTGTAAAGTTTGGGGGAGGGGCATTATTTCTCAGGTGTTGGGCTTGGCCCCTTAGTTCTAGTGAAGGGAACTCTTAAACCATCAGCATACCAAGACATTTTGGACAATTTCATGCTCCAAACTTTGTGGAAACAGTTTGGGGATGGCCCCTTCCTGTTCCAACATGACTGTGGACCAGTGCACAAAGCAAGGTCCATAAAGACAAGGATGAGCCAGTTTGGGGTGGAGGACTGGCCTGCACAAAGTCCTGACCTCAACACGATAGAACACCTTTGGGATGAATTAGAGCGGAGACTGCGAGCCAGGCCTTCTCGTCCAACATCAGTACCTGGCCTCACAAATGCGCTTCTGGAAGAATGGTCAAACATTCCCATAGACACACTCCTAAACCTTGTGGACAGCCCTCCCGGAAGAGTTGAAGCTGTTATAGCTGCAAAGGGTGGGCCAACTCAATATTGAACCCTACGGACTAAGACTGGGATGACATTAAAGTTCATGTGCGTGTAAAGCCAGGTGTCCCAATACTTTTGGCAGTATAGTGTGTGTGTATCTAGATAGATAGATCTATAGATAGATCTATATATAATCAAATACATATATACAAAGACACCCGAAGAACAGAAATATGGGTTTAGTTTTAGGCAATATAAAAAAAACCCAATGTAAAGTACTTCACTATACTTCTCCATGCTACCAATTTTAAATCCATTGTATGTGTCTAAGATATAATGTGGCTAAGATATTAGTACCATGCAGGAAT